TTCACTCCGCGTATACAACATGTTTCGTTCTTGCTACTCGCTCACCGCCGCTCACTTCTCGGATACGCGAGTACTTTTCTGAGCCAGTTTATTTTTCGAATGAAGAGCTTTTTTAATAAGACTCTTCGATCGACGTGATACACGAGCAATGTTATCCCAAAGCATTTATGAAATTCCATGTAATCAAACGTAAAACTTATTTAGCGTGAAGGTAAAATTAATTAATCGTATCATACATGAAGTTCTCTATTTCGAAATTTTAGTAAATTTTCTCCCTGTCACTAAAGGCCTGTGTTCGCGATGCTGAAACTTGGTCCAAGTTGCTTAACTTACAGCTATTCTATAAAAGCTTTAAGTTGATTGGTTACACATTTCTCGGAACTAGAACTTGGACAAAGTTCTAGCGCCGTGGACACAGGCCTTGATGACTATGAAACTTTGGTATTTTTACTTTTCGACGCAATACACAAATTTTATTGCGACAAATTCTTCGTTGTTGCCTCCAATATTCATCTCTGATCTCTCCTATGATTTGCACACTCGACTCCACGTCGGTCTCTCTGTTTCCAGGTGTTACAATAGTTGCCCGCAAGCGTAGATGCTAATGTCGCTCTTCACAATGTCAGCGGCCAAGGATTTGAGTTGGCGGACAGGTAAATGGCCCGAACGTTGAACCGACGAATGACCTCCGACAACAACGGCCTCCGTTTTCGGTGTCGAAATCATCTCGCGCTGAAATAACACCGCTACCAACAGTATAGCGACTTTTTACGCCTCGCTGCGCGTTAAGCCGATTTGCCTGTCCATTCGGACCGATTTATAAAAATTCAAGACGCGACTAGTGCCGGTCTAGTTACATATTGACGTCGGAAGCGTGGAAATTTTTATGGCGAGCTATGCTTATAAAACCCCGTGCAACCATGGAAAGTGATTAAAAATAAAAATAAATCCTTGAAAATAGACCTGCTTGTGCGTCATGGCTTTGCCAAGGCTTTGGATTTTTGTATAAACAGCGGAAATAACATTTTGTAGCTCGTCACATTAACGTCTCAGAATAGGTGTTTTTTTTTCTACGATTCATAACGATAAACAATGCGAACGCGAAAGATATTTTCGAAATTTTAACTTTACTTTGAATCTTTTTCCGATAATTAAATTACGAGATTCTGTGAGAGCAGAAATTCCCGATGCTTCTGACGTCGCAATGTACACGATAAAACCGATTAGTTTTAAAATACGCAACATTGATCCTTAAATTTCACGAATAGGAGAAAATTCGTTGAAATTAATAATAGATTTGTGCCACAGCTCTCTTGAAAGCGAATGGACGCGGTTTGGGAACGTATCTCTTGGCCCTGTCGGAGTGCGAAAGAAAAAAAACAAATGATTTTTATTTCTATCGAGAAGGCGCCCGGCACAAAAGCACGCGGCAAATGCCGTTGACCTCGAGATTGAAGGTTTAACAGTCATTCTACAGTGAGATTCCGAATGTCAAACAAATCCGATGAAGGCGGACGCGAGGGACATGGGATATGGATCAAAAAAGAAAAATAATAGAGGAGAGAGAGATGAAGGCAGAACCCGCCGCAGTACGGGCCAGCTCACCGAGGATGTAACGTTATGTCTATTAGATTCCGGAGAGGGCCAAGAGGAACGTCATGACCGAAGTCCACAAAGACGCGAGGAGCGAGATTAGGATTCGAGTGGACAGCGTCCGAAGCTCTGCCGTCTCCTCTGGGACGAAGACGGTTTACGAGAATTCTCATATTAACTGATATATACGAGAAAACAGAGGCAATTTATCGTGTTATTATGTGTTGCTGTTGCGTTCCAATTCTCTTCGGAGGATTAAGTTATATCGCATCTAATATTCAGAAAAGTTGAATACATTGAGTAACGTTTGAACATACCCAAGCTTCATCGTGTACCATTTAAATACAACAAAAGTAACAGATAAGACATAATATGTTAATGTATTTAAATGTAATTAAAATGATATAATTGTTAAAAAACTCGACTAATAAGTGAAAGAAACCAACGACAAATTCTCATGAACGTTCTCTCTCACGTGGCTCTCTGAAATATTTTTCATTATTTATGTAGCGCATGGCACGCAGCTCGTGACGAATATCCCTTTGTTCGTTGGCTCGATAATAATTACAATTACAAGCGAATGTCTATTAAGCTCGCGCTTGCGTGGACGAGTTCCGTGGAGGGATTTTCAGGGACAGTGTCGAGCTGAGCACGAGCGGGACAGAGTCAAGGCGAACGGTGACGCTCGTGGGAGACGAGGAGAGCGGAGGAGAGAGAACGGGGAGCCGACAGCCTGTCCGGAGAGAGAGGCAGAGCGCTCGCTCTCCCTCTTCGGGAGTCGCGGTCGAAGACACGAGACACTACCATGGTCGCTCGTTACATAAGTAAGGTAAAGGATCTCCTCTTCTCTGCTCTCCTTGAGTCGATCCACATTCGCGATTATACCACTTTCCATCGACCTCTCCTTACCCCGAGCGCGGTGCTCGTTCGCGCGTGCAAGCGCGTGTGCGTGCCCCCCACGTGTAATTATCAGTTCTGTTCGGAGACCGTTGTAGGATTTGGCTTACCAGCGTGGTACAGACGCGAGCTCGCTAAATTTACAGGGCGACTTTGCACCGGGAACGCGCGCAGTCGTTCTGTCAGCCGATTTAAACGCGATGGGGAGCATAACTTCGAAAAGGAGATTAATTTTACAGAAACGGTAGCTTGCGCATATACATAGAGAATCACCGTTCCAGAACTGTCGTCAACGCTTTTATACGGATTTTGAGACCGAGTTGGAGTTCATTCATTCTATATTAAAATGGAGAGGAAGCGTTCGAACTAAGTCCCTTTTTCGAGTATAATCTGAATCAGAGATGTAGATATTAAAAGTGCTCATCTTTCTATATTTTATACAAGCCGGCTGTATATATTAACTTAAGGGAAAATCTCCATTTTTTTCAGAAACTCAAAGTGTTAGCTTTTCATTTTATTTTTCATCATTGTTTTTATGAAAAAGAAACGTATAAAAATATATTTAATAATATATAACAAATATTGTATTTTTAAATCCATTCTATTTGTAAAGACATAATAAAAAACAACAAAATTGTAATTTACGAGCGAATTTAGGAAATACGCCAAAACAAAACAAATTACTAAAGGCTGCAATGTGATCTGTTAATATTATATAATTACAGCTTATTTTGTAAAAAAAAAACATGTAACTCACAAAGAGTTTTCTTGGAAGGTGTCTCCCATTTTTTTGCGGGACGAATCCTCGAAATTCGAAGCGCCTAGGGGCTCCGTGTGATGTGAAAGAGCCATTGTAAGTGGACTCGAATAAATTGATGTCGGAGCTGATGAAGTAAATTGTAATTTGGAGGTCGTCATCCAACGGGTGACTCGCTGTCACGCAGGAGAGCCGAGCGTGCATTGACCTATCGTGTGACCTCCGACAACACGACCTTAATGCCGATGATGTTCGACGCCGATTTACGTACGGTGATCCCGCACATATCCAACCGTGTGCACCGAAATAAATTCCCAATTTTACAATACATGTCTACATGTGCGAAACCAGTCTCTGACAAATTGCTGAAATTGAGTTTCAGGAGCAAAAAATGAAATGACTAGTGGAAACAGAAAATTACAGATTCATTACGTTTGACGAGAGTATAATCGTTGCAACATTGTACATTATTCATAATCTTTCAATTCTTTTTACGTTTCTTTAAAAAACCTAACTCAAATTTTGATGGAAATCGAATTAACTTAATTAAAATTTTATCTATTACTAAATTGAAAATTATCGGTAATGTTTTATTATAAGACATTATTGATAAAGTTAAAAATTATCACGATTTAATTAATAGTACGTTAACTAAAAAGTTATAATTTTTTTATTATAATTGTATTACTATATCGCGTAAGGAAATGGTACAGACATCTACAGAAGGAAGAAGAAACTAAGATTTTACATCTGTGGGTAGAAGATCATCAGCAGAAGATGACTTTGCCTGATCTGCTAGATGGCAGCAGAATGGGCGTCATCGGACATTTAATTATTTTTTAATTTATCTATTTAATTGGTACCATATGAGACAATTTTGTATTAACGAATCCTTAATCAAATCAATTCGATTATATCACAGATTTATAACTGTAAATTATAATCTATAATTGTGCTAAAACTAAAATTCTAATTCTTAAATGAATAAAGTTTGCAAATGATTATTTTTTATTAATTTTTCCTCCAGATTTTGCAGATAATATAAGTAAGTTAGAGAATCTATTTTATACGTATTTATGAATTAATAAAAAGGCGTGTGAGTCGATAATTACGTCCAATTACTTTTCCTTTAACGCTAAATGATCATCTTGATGCATATTATATGCACATTACTTCTTATCGTGAACGGCTGTCATTGTGTGTTTTGATAATTTGTATGTTAAATAGATTAATACCATGTAAATTGATCAATAAGCTGTTTATAAGCATTAAGAATTAATATTTATTACTTTATTACTATTTGTATTATTTTAGTTATTTTTATGAATTTTTTCTTTAAAGGATGAATAAATCGTAACACATTCTGTAGAAAATGTTAAATCTTAAACATTTCAAATTTTATATTTACAGTTAAATTTAAAAGGTTTAATTTAATAAAAAAAATTTTTAATAAAACATTTAGTAGCAGTGTTTCGGTGCTGTTAAAAATCCAATTTTATAGGCAAATAAAATTAACTGTTTTAAAATTATTTAGATTTTTCTCACGCAATAATAGTTTACATGACCATTGTAAAAAATATAAAATCAATATTAATATAACTTTTTGTTTCTGTGTCAAAAACGTTAAAATTTTATTAATTACGAAGTAAGTGAACTGATAATTCATTACCGTCGTGTCATGAAGTCTTTCTATCATTCTCAATTTCATAAGAACTTTCGATGACAGGAGATGAGGTATACAAAACCCCCCATGTAAATAATTACATTTATTTATTTATCAATTTTACAGTGTAACAGTGTATAGGATACGCTGAATATAGAATAATCTCTTTTTTTATCGTTTACTAATTAAGGCGATTAGTGTGTGTAAGTGACTCCGTCGGATAACATACATATTATATTATAGCACGTGTGTGACTTATGTTGATTGCGATCGAACAATTCAAACGTTCGTGGTTCGAATTTGTCTCGCAGTTCCCGTGTTCGTGGACTCGGTTCGCGCGGCGTTACACTTACCTTCGTTCGCGTTGTATAACAACAGATTTGATATTAAATATCTCGTAACGAAGTAAATTATTGTAAGTTAGTTCCCTTTTTTTTTTACTCCTATGGTATTCGGTGCGGATAAGGCCACAATTAGTATTTCCGTGTGCGTCCGCCGCACACTCGTTCGCATGTATGTATACCTATATGCGAGTGTATACTTGTATATGTTGTGTATATGCGTGCATATGTGTGAATGCGAGCTTTGTCCCTTTTCTTTGCCATATATCCTTTTTCAACAAAACTCTTTGAATATGTTATTGCAAAAAATGTTCGCAGCATGTACGTGTATTTGTGTGTGTGCGCGCGCGTGTGTGTATCGTGTACGCGTGTGTCGTATGTAGGTGTGCGTGCGTGTGTACGTATCCGTGCATGCGCGCGCGCTCGCGCGCGATCCACACGGGATGACGATGGATCCCTACGTTGCGCGCCTATTCCCCTCGACGAACGAGAGAAAGGGAGAAAAGGATCGAGAAAAGAAGAGAGCCGGGACATCGTAAAAAGCGAAACACGTACATATTGTATTCTGCTTCGACTGACGATACGCGTGTAAGATGTACGGAAACTGATGGGTCTTTTGAGAAAAAGAAAAATTTCCACTCTGCCCATTCTTTCAACATTAAAGTAACTTTCTCTCGAAATCCGAATGTACGTATTGACAGTCTATAGAAAACGTTATAACGAGAAATTGATAGATCGATTTGTTTTCATGTCGCGGTTCTGTTCGTAAATTAATAGCCGGGGTATTATTCGAATATTAGATACGAGAGATGAACAACGTCGTTCTTGAAAAGAAAAAGGCAAGAAAAGGAAAAATAGCGACGTGTCAATCGGGTAAACTTGTGTCGGTGTGTGGCGTGGGTGTGTACGTGTTAGAACCGTCGCGTTTTTCGCGCGAGTGCGAGTCGAATAGAAATAACATCGCTGTATATATATGTATATATACATACATATACGTATATAAAATTTTTAGTTCTTCATAAGAATATATAATAATATGTAGGACTCTCTTTGTGCGCACACGCGCGCTTATCTTTCTACCATTGTACAAAGCGAAAACGTTATTAATATTAGTAACATCACGAGAGCACGCGGAGCGCTTAGGCTTATTCGTTATCCTAATCGACGTGTCCGCATCAACGATCGTTTTATTACAGTAAGGCGATTTGATTTCTCTTCATCAAGCTCGCTGCTTGCGCATTCCCCTTTTTTCTTTTCTTTTCTCCCGCTCTTTCACTCTTCGATATCCGATATCACGCGATGATCGGGCAGATTATGTCGAATGGTCACAGGCAGATTCGCGTCAGTGTCCTCATAAATACACGTATTATAGAACGAAATAACGAATAGACTAATGTCGCTACGACTACGAAGCTAGAAATGAAATTCCCGCGCCGCCACCCTTCCCGAACGATCAATTGACGATCGCGAAATCACTGCGCTGACCAAGACGAGGACTTGGTCAGGGGATTCTCGAGCTTTTGCCATTCTCCGAAGAAAAAGAGCGGCGCGCAAAATCTCGTCAAAACATGTCGGTTATTCGTAACAAAAATCATCGCGACGTAAACGCGAAGGTTCTGCTTCTTTTTTTTTAATTTATAATTTTCATTACGTCTCCCCGTGATCTCTCGTCTCTCGATGTGGCTCCGCGAAGTTCTCTATCGTCTGCGTGTTTCAAAGTTCGGCCAGTTGGATCGCGACGACGGTATTGTTATGGCGTGCAACAGAATCCGCTTGACTATATGGATTCCGCATCGGAATCTGCGTCTTGTTCCTCGTCCTTTCTCCCCCTCCCGCTCCTCTCCTGTCGATCCCGGTGTCAATCTCGTCGTCGTGAAGCCGCGCGCTTTACATCAGCTTCATCTTGGCGCACTCGGGGCAGATGATGTCGTCGCCGTCGGTGATGAAGCCACGTCCGACCAGCGAAGTTTTGCAGCCCGCGCAGATGAAGCAATCATTATGCCAGTGCCTGTCCTCGAATGAGATGAAGCGAGTGCCACCAATACCTGTAAATTAATCGATGCAAGTCGCGTTTGAATTAAGCTTAATTCCAGTCGCTCACTTACGTCACTATAGTATCCCGTTCGTGTATTATATTCGAAATTGTTTCCAACGGTATATCCATTAAAAGATCTAATCAGCACATCGTTGAATAATTGATTATTGAACAGTTAAATCCAATTAACTCAGTAACTGTTGCATTTTTTAGAAGATGAGAAATATTTACGTTCTTCGATATTTATTAACAAGCAACTTTCTTTATTAATAACTGATTAATAATGAAGGCGATGCATACCGGTGATTGGCTTGGAGCAAGCGGTGCACCTCTTGGCGAAGAGCTCGCCGAAGCAGTCGGCGCAGTACGGTTTGTCGTCGCGCGATGTGAATCGTTGTCCCGCCAGGGAGTTGTTGCAGTTGCTGCAGGTGAAGCAATCTCTGTGCCACGGCTCGTTCTTGTATGTCACGCCGCCGCTGGTGATGATCTGCAACAAAGAGTTGACGATATCTCATAGAACAGGTCGCTTCATCGATTCGTTATATCTCATTGAGGCGCCTTTCAATCGCGTTTTCTCTCCCTCTTTATACACAATATTGATACAAGCAGTAATATCGACGCAATATACGTACAAGTGGTTAAAGAGCCATTTGACATGATGATATTGAAGTCACATCATACGCAACGATAGAAAAGAAACGAGTTCCAAAGATTGCGAGCCAAAGATTTGTGGAAGAATGTTAAAAATATACAGACATTTAAAAGCATGCAGGATTCGTCGAAAGTAAAAGAGCGTCTATAATTCAGTGATTGATACGTTTATATTATATGAGTTAAATGAATACTGAATGTTGCTGGCAGTTTTATTTAATGACCTACGTAACTGTAAAGCGTCAATACGCGTACAGCGCCTGTATCGGCGATTTTATCGGATTGAGATTTATGATCCGCGCAACGAGATCCCTTTTTTGATTCGCCTGTTACGCTCGACGAGCTTTTTTGCGCGACACGCAATAAACGAACGCGAGATGCGAAGTAATCATCGATACAGAGAAAGGAGTGGCCCACCTTGTTGCACTTAACACACCGGGTGGCGAACTTGTCCTCGTAACATCCGGCACAGTAAATCTCCTGCTCGCGCGGGATGAAGCTCTTCGTGCCGATCGGATTCTTGCAGACCACGCAACAGAAGCACTTCTCGTGCCATTGTCTGGTCTTGTATTCCATCTTCTTGGTGCCTGAAACATGCAAGCGCGACAAAACAAAGTTAGAAAAATAGTGCTTTTAGGATCGAACATTTAACAATATTTCATTTATTCGACACGTCTAAACGGGAGAGAGAATCCTGCGCACATTATTGTTTATGTTGTTTGAAACATGTAAAAAGATCCGAGTCGAAATTTTGACTCTATGTTGAACCTTTAATTTTATTATATAGTAGGGCCTAAGACAGTAAAAGAGGTAGAACTGCAAGTATTGTGCAAAATTTACTCCTACTTTCAAACTGATAGTGTCGGAAATTTCTACTTTTGCCAATTTAGCATTAAAGTAGGTCCTTTTAGGTAGGAGCTAAAGTAAAGTTTTAGAGTTAAAGATTCAAGGGGGGAGTAAAAAAATATGTCATCAGAGTAGGTTATAACTGATCTAGGCGTATAGATCAGCTAGGTAGGTGTAAATTATTCTTAAAGGTGTCAAAATAGTACCAAAATTTCGACTCGGGGATCGTCCAATTTTTCTTCTAATTTCCACTCTTATTAATTATGCTGTTTTTCCAAATCACTTCATTCCATCCGTTGAATTCACTTTCAGTCGATTATGAAAATACTGATGCTTGCTAATAATTGCTTCGCGAGTCGTAGAGAATTATTAAAAGAATAAAAATCTTGTCAGGCTCAAATAAGCATAGGGGTGGTTGCTGATCCGCGTTTTAGCGTTCAAACGAGCGGGTGATTGCGTGCGGCGACTGGTGGGCTGCAATGCTGCAAATAGCAGTAACGTGCATCATCGCGTGTTTCGTCCGAGCACTCAGCTACATGGCGAAATAAATTTTTCGTGAATTTCTTCGCGAGCTCCCTATTGGGCACTCGTCTATAAAACACCCCTCGTTGCAAGCGAATTAGATCGATCGGCGGGGTTTCCTCGCCCATGGTTTCGCGTTTCGCCTCCGTACGCGAAAGTGTTCGCGCTTCGCTGCCGTACCGATTTGCGATTCGCAATTAGCACATGTACAGGTGCAGACAGTCACGTGGGAATAAGAACGGCTGGGAGAAATTAACCGCACTGCGGTCTCGCGGCTTTGATTGGCGAACCGCGTGATTGCGGTCCACGATGAATTAGGAAATTTAAATTATCGACGCGCGTATAATAGAACTTTTATTCAGGAATAAAAGTGCTAATTTCAATGTGGCCATATTAATGGAATAATTTCTTTAATTTTCGATATAATTTTTCAAAGATGTAGCTACACATGAAGATAGAAGCATCGTTAAATCGCCAAGATAACTGCGACATTAAGATTTCTTTTTCACGTTATTTTGCTCATCCACCACGAAATTGTCGTACTCCATAACTAAGAACAAAACGGTCTTGTTTTCATTAAGATTAGGAATATTATGAGAGGAACGTGACATGACGTAACGTTGTCCAGCTTATGAGTATTGTCGATTCGTTATCGTGGTCACGTTCTGGCCCGTGATTCGAGAAACTGGCAGATAATACCGAAGATCATTGACTAGAGAACGCAAACGTATTATATGTCGTTAATGCTATACTAATCACATACTGCAAGCTAAAATTCTTACACCATCTCGATGTAATAACAGGTAATTACAGTATCACGATGTTGTTTCATACGTGAAATGATTATGAAATACAAAGCATGTCCTTCAGAATTTTCTAAAGATATTTAAATTTAGAGAGAACAGTGTCTGCTTAAATGTCTCTGGGTGTAAATTAATATATTAAAAAGATTATTTAACATAAAATTTCTATTTTTTATGTCACGTTTCAAATACTATACATTTCTTTGTAAACCTACGAATTTCCTGAAATAAGTATTTATTTTATTATATTTATTTCTATCTTCAATTTTAATATATCACATTTTTATCTTTATTTAAGATATACATTGCGCTGTATAATTCTTTCTCTGTACATCTAATGAATTTGGTATCTTATTTTACAACTTTTGAAATGTGATATTATACATGTATTATAGAACCCAATTCGACATGCAATCAAAGCTATTCGCACAAAACGATAGTGTGTTCGTTTCTTCCCGTATTTAATTTTTCCTGTTACATCCTGAGAGATAAAAGACGAATTAATAACGTCTGTCTATTTCAAAAGGTGATCTAAAGCCTGGCCAAATGACACACTTAAATATGACATTAAGTATAATAACTTGTCTCGTGAATCATCAACTCGATCCTAAATGTTTACGACACAAGATCACGTCTGAGAGGTGACAGTTTCTCGAGGACGATCGAAAAGCTCGTTTCGTTAAAGAATGCTCAAATCTCCACCTTTTTTTTTAAATAGACGAGTTTTGGAACAGAATGTATTATATAATATACTTTGTCGAAACTGACTCTAAATTCCTTCTTCAACTGAACTTTTCCAAGTGTGAAGAATCCTCATTATGCTATTGAAAATAGCATCTGTATTATCGCACATCGACACGAGCGCGATAATCACATCCATCATCGCCCATGTAGATGCGATTATTGAACAGCGCGCAATCGATTCAATACCAGCTCGTTAATCATCGTGAGCGGATTCATTAAATCATTCAGTTGTCACTGAGCACTGTCGAATTTTGTTCAATCTAGTTTTCCAATTATAACTACACCGTCCACAAACTACTAATTATTCATCCGTTATATTATTCAAGCGACTAATCACATCTCAATCACCGTAGACATGATAACTACATTATACTAATCAACTTAAAGCTGCAAGATCGAAAATATTAAAGCAAAATTCAATTAATTCATCTTAGGAGAGTTCATTTTTCAATTTTGCTACAAATAAAACAAAACGATCGCCGAAATTATTTTTTCATTAAAGAAGGTATTCACGTTCCATACATCACGATTGATGCATTTCACCTGTAGATACGATTTGTTAGAGCATCTATGGTCTATAAATAAACACGCAGCTTATTCTTAACGAACAATTGCATATCTTTATGTTTTCTGTCGTTTTGCTTCCTCATAGAGGAAGCTTTGTTTAAATAAGTATCTATTAGGAAGGTATATACACATTTGAGATTTTTATTTTGGCTACTTACAGTCACTTATATGTCGAATCTTCAAACGCGTCTATTTTATGTTTCGCTACTTTTCGAAGTGCACACTAAAGATGGACATCCTGATATCCATGTATCTTTCGTGCACGACACGCCGCCTCCTGGACCACTATGACTCAAGTTAAGATTCGTGACGTCACGTCAGCCAGGCAATACCTCCGTATATGTATAAAGCTGATGGCCCAAGGCCGATGTGGTAATCTTATGCGCGTCGCGTTGTAATCCGCGTATTATTCGCGCTATGAACGGTGGGTACATGTTAAAAATTGGATATTTACATATCCCATCATCAACATAAAACGAATATACAGCCGTCATTGTGAGACATCATTTTATACATAATCTTATCAGCATTCTTTAATCTCTTGAAGGATGTGAAGGAACTATCTAAAAAGCAATGGATGTAGCCAACGGTGATATTTTATCGTCACTGATTTCTCGAACATTTAAATAAAAATCCACCGACGACTGGTTACAAAGTAATGGAGTGTCTGTGCTCGAGGTACTCAGAGTGCACACATGTATATTTAAAAATACAAACGTTTAATATAAAGTTGCTATATTTCAAGACATAAAGCAATTCATTCTTCTTGACGCGGCACGTGTTAACCGTATGGAATCGCACCTCATTGACAGACAAGAGAGATGCGCTTTAACACCTACTTAAGAAGTGTCATTCACGCTCTTAAATGACCTGTTCGTTCGTCACGGTAATGAAGCATCTCCTGGCGCCGTGACGAGGAAGATTTTTTCGATTACCACAGATATTCTCGAACACCGCTTAAAACTCAGCCTACATTTCTTATATATTGTAACGCATTGTCACGCGGAAAGAAAAATGTAGCTACCGTAGCTAAAAACTGCATATGACAACTAAATTTTAGTTGCAAAATATGGACAGCTAATATTTAGTTGTCCCGAGTCGAAATTTTGGTACTATTTGGACACTTTTAAGGATAATTTACACCTACTTAGCTGATACACTTACGTAGACCAGCAATAACCTACTTTGATGACATTATATTTTAATTTTAGCTCCTACTTACTTTAGCTCCTACTCAAAAGGACCTACTTTAATGCTAAATTGGCAAAAGTAGAAATTTCCGACACTATCAGTTTGAAAATGGGAGTAAATTTTGTACTTGCAGTTCGACCTGTTTCACTGTCTCAGGTCCTACTGTATAATAGAATTAAAAGTTCCACATATAGGGCCAAAATATCGATTCGAGGTGGTAGCTAAATATTTTGCTACTATGCCTATTGTATCAGGTGCGACAGCAAGCCGTTTGGTTTAGAAATTTACAGTTATGGCAAAATATTTTTAGCAAACCATGATTAGCTACGGTAGCGAAATTTTCTTTTCAGTGCACGATTCTTGTAATATGTTTTCGCTACGACCTTTATCACGAAATGCGCCGAGTCTTCCAAACTACTGACTATCCATTTCCTTAGCAATAGACATCCATTAAGTCTTGTTAGTTCCTTCATCGGCCAGACGAGTAAACAATTCAACAGAAACATTATCTATTTCCGTAACTGTGAATGCCATCATTAATTATCATCATTCTTCTTCTTCGATGTTTGCCGAACGTTACTATGACCATTCAGATGGATTTTATGGTTATCACTCGCCAAATTGGTAACGCGCCCTCCCGAGGTGATTACCTCGAGGCGGAAGCTGCGTCTTCTTTTCCACGTCAGATCTAAATATAATTCAACGAAAAGCAGAGGCTGTCGTGCGCGCGATCCTAAAATTTCGTGACCCAGGCAAACTCTGTTCGCTAAACGTACGAAAATGAACTATCAAAGTTATAAATCGCCCGTGAAACTATTACCGAATAAAATTTTCTTTCGGCTTTACTTTTAATTCTGTAACGTGCCCTCTCGACTTTTAGTGATATTTATCTGCAAATATCTTTCGTATGTAAC